TATATATACATATATGAATTTTTATCATGAACTTTACTTGATAAATTTTACAATTTTATTGCATGTTTTGCACAGTGTAGCGTTTGCACATTTTTATGTATTTGTTGATTTAAAGGCACGGCGCAAACATTATTTGTTATTAGTATGATGCAGCATGTGCCTCGTCCCATAGAACGGGGGTTCTTTTTAGGTCTGCCTACCAAAGTCATCCACTAACTCCACCCTTTTTCCTATATACATGTCCTATCTTGAGCATAAGGCTGGCCATACACTATACAATTTTCTGTCCAATTTCTGCTCAATTTTCTTTAGATTTACCTTCGACTATGTAGTGCAAGAACCTGCCTAACTGGATACAATTGAAAGTGTTGTTAGGTTTGACCTCCTATTATATGGTTTTTGGTAAATCTAAACCAAAAAATCTCAAGAAAATTGTATAATGCATGGCCAGTCTAAGACAGCAGGGTGGACCAGCACCTCAGGGGTGGGGCATAAATGAAAAGAGGCCAACGCCCACCTACAGGCTCGGCACCAGTATCTGCTTCTTTATTTTTTGAATGGGAAATGATTTGTTCTGTGGTTGATGTTTTCTATCTTCCTCTTCAGGGAAAGTCACATGCAACTGAATCAGTGAAATGAAGCCAGATCTTTTATTACAAACATGACCACAGACTAGGAATCCATCAGTTGTGGTCGGCGCCGTCCCCCGAGACTCCTGACTCAGAAGCAGAAAAAGAAACATGAGCAGCTAATTGTTTTACATCCCGACGAGCAAGAGATTCATTCCACGGAACATCTATTATGTAACGTCATTGTGAGAGAGTGCGGTCACTAGGGACGGTCGGACTGCGGGGGGCCTGGACACCCCACAATTCCCTCCACGGCTTTTAATGTTTCCTTTACATCTACTTTACACAGAATGATGTCATCTTCTCTAAATGATGGATTTTGTCTCTTCCCACACGTAGTGTACTGGACAGCATTCATGAAGGTTTCTTTTTGTGTGTGTGATCAGGCCATTTGTTTGCTATTTATCACTGCGCTACTTTAACTGGTAATTGCGTGGTCATGCAAACAAAATTTATATTGTTTTTTTTTTTTTGGTGGTATTTGATTACCACTGAGTTTTTTTTTCGTCTTTTATTATATAACCCGAAAAGGCTTAAAATTTTGAAAAAAAAGCAATATTTTTTGCTATAAAATATATCCCCAAAAAATTTAAAAAAATCAAATTTCTTCATACATTTTGGCCAAAATGTCTTTGGTATAATAAAAACAAATACTAATAAGTGTGCACTCACCGGCCACTTTTTTAGGTACACCCTGTTTTGAGTTGCTTGGTAACACAAATTGCTAATCAGCCAATCGCAGGGCAGTAACTCAATGCATTTTGGCGTCTAGACGTGGTGAAGACGACTTGCTGAAGTTCAAACCGAGCATCAGAATGGGGAAGAAAGGGGACTTAAGTGACTCTGAATGTGGCATGGTTGCTGCCAGATGGGGTGGTCTGACTATTTCAAAAACTGCTGATCTACTGGGATTTTCAGGCACAACCGTCAACAGAGAATGGTCTGACAAAGAGAAATATCCAGTGAGTGGCAGTTGTGTGAACAAAAATGCCTTGTTGATGTCAGAGGAGAATGGGCAGATTGGTTTGAGGTGATAGAAAGGCAACAATAACTCAAAAGACCACTCATTACACCCAAGGTATGCAGAATACCATCTGCATACCTTGCACAACACATTGCACAACACATTGAACCTTGAAGCAGATGGGCTACAGCAGCAGAAGACCACACCGGGTGCCACTCCTGTCATCTAAGAACAGGAAATGAAGGCTACAATTCACACAGGCTCACTAAGAGTGGAAACCGTTGCCTGGTTTGATGAGTCTCGATTTCAGCTGCAGCATTCAGATGGTAGTGTCAGAATTTGGTGCAAAAAAAAAAAAAAGCGGATGGTGGTGGTGGTGCATTGGTGTGGTGGATCCATCCTGCCTTGTATCAACGGTTCAGGCTGGTGGTGGTGGAGTGTCATGGTGTGGTGGATCCATCCCGCCTTGTATCGGTGGTTCAGGCTGGTGGTGGTGGTGTCATGGTGTGGTGTGATCCATCCTGCTTGTATCAACGGTTCAGGGCCTGGTGGTGATGGTGTCATGGTGTGGGGGAGATTTTCTTGACACCCCTTGGGCCCCTTAGTACCAGTTAAGCATCATTTAAACCCCACGGCCTACCTGAGTATTGTTGCTGACCATGTCCTTCCCTTTATGACTCCAGTGTCCCCATCTTCTGATGTCTCCTTCCAGCAGGATAATGCTCCATGTCACAAAGCTCAGATCATCTCCAACTGGTTTCTTGAACATGACAATGTGGTCACTGGACTCCAATGGCCTCCACAGTCACCAGATCTCCATCCAGTAGAGCACCTGTGGGATGTGGGTGGAATGGGAGATTCGCATCGTGGATGTGCAGCCAACAAATCTGCAGCAACTGTGTGAAGCCATCATGTCAATATGGACCAAAATCTCTGAGGAACGTTTCCAACACCTTTGTTGAATCTATGCCATGAAGAATGAAGGCGAAAGGGGGTCCAACCCGGGACTAGCAAGGTGGACCTCATAAAGTGGCCGCTGAGCATAAATTAATTGGTTTGTGCGAAAGGTATAGCGTCTGCAAACTTTGGTATATATATTGGAATTTAGTCCAGTCACATCAGTCTCTGTACCAGAGGAGCTTACACTCTAATGTCCCCCCCACAGTCACACACTATTATTATACATGCCTATAGCTCTGACATATACCGCAGTGCTGTACAGAGAACACTGAGCCAGTCACATCAGTCTCTGCACCAGAGGAGCTTACACTCTAATGTCCCCTCCCCCACAGTCACATCAGTCTCTGTACCAGAGGAGCTTACACTCTAATGTCCCCCTCCTCCACAGTCACATCAGTCTCTGTACCAGAGGAGCTTACACTCTAATGTCCCCCTCCCCCACAGTCACATCAGTCTCTGCACCAGAGGAGCTTACACTCTAATGTCCCCTCCCCCATAGTCACATCAGTCTCTGTACCAGAGGAGCTTACACTCTAATGTCCCCTCCCCCATCACACACACTATTATTATCCATTTATATAGCTCTGACATATACCGCAGTGCTGTACAGAGAACACTGAGCCAGTCACATCAGTCTCTGTACCAGAGGAGCTTACACTCTAATGTCCCCTCCCCCACAGTCACATCAGTCTCTGTACCAGAGGAGCTTACACTCTAATGTCCCCTCCCCCACAGTCACATCAGTCTCTGCACCAGAGGAGCTTACACTCTAATGTCCCCCTCCCCCACATCACATCAGTCTCTGCACCAGAGGAGCTTACACTCTAATGTCCCCTCCCCCATCACACACACTATTATTATCCATTTATATAGCTCTGACATATACCGCAGTGCTGTACAGAGAACACTGAGCCAATCACATCAGTCTCTGTACCAGAGGAGCTTACACTCTACACCCCCACCCCCCACAGTCGCAGACTTTTATAAGCTGCAGTGCTGTATGAAGAGCACAAGTCTGTGCAGCAGAGGAGCTTACACTCTTACCCTGGGGGGGGGGGGGGTTTGGGTGACGGTAATGTTTGCAGAGATGCATTATAAAGATGATAATAGTAAAATATGATTGGTTCTGTTTTATGCTTTTCCTGGCCCAAAAAAAAAAGCCATTTTCTGTTTTTCTTTGCTGAAGTAAGCGATTTTTGTTTAATTATATATATTTAATATTATTTATTCTGTATATATGTAAATATGTTTTTTTTATTATGTTGTTTGTAAGATTTTTAATAAACAAAAAAATTTACACTCAGTAAAAACCCCAAAACCACAGAAAGAAACCTACAAATGTCACAGTGGGAACTGAACGCGGTTCCCCAGCGCTGCACATTGTTGGCACAGTGCTGAGGTACCATCTGTCTGTATCTCCTGAATCCTGGATGAAGATCCTGGAAGGATGCGGGACGTGTGCGCTCACGGACTCCAGTATTCTTTCTGTGAACCTCCAAATATAGATATGAAGGGGAGGATCTGAGCCCCACAGCTCTCCGCTGTCTGTACAATCCCTCCATATGGACTAGTTCCATTGTCCTGGATTGTGCAATAGATACAGGAGAAACTCCTCACATATTGCACTCATATATATTAATTTGTTTCATTCCTGGAAGAAGATCTCCTCATCCAGGAATAGCCCTCATTCCGAGCCAAACAGACATGTTGTAACTAGATATTCATAGTGTGTATACTAAGGGCTCATCTGATCCGCGCTCCACGCCAATAATATCTGGACCTTTCCGAAAAAAAAAGTAGCTAAATCAGTAAAGTTGCACCACCCAGCGAGAGCCCACCAGCGGATCAAGATGTCAACACACTGTGCACAAAAAGCGCAAAACCGCCCACCTACAGCAGAACCCTGCGTTCCTTAACCCCTCGCCTACCGGGCACTTATATCCCCTTCCTTACCAGGCCAATTTTCAGCTTTCAGCGCTGTCGCACTTTGAATGACAATTGCGCGGTCATGCAACATTGTATTTTTTTTTATCACAAATAGAGCTTTCTTTTGTGGTATTTACTTGGTTTTAATTTTTGCGCTATAAACAAAAAAAGAGCAAAAAATTAAAAAAAAAAAAAAAAAAAAAAAAAGTTTTTAGTTTCTATTTTAAAGTTTTGCAAACAGGTAATTTTTCTCCTTCACTGATGTGCTTTGATGAGGCTGCACTGATAGGCGGCACTGATGGGCACTGCTAGGCTGCACTGAAGGCACTGGTGGGTGGCACTGGTGGGCGGCACTGACTGGCGGCACTGCCTGGTGGCACTACTGGGTGGCACTGCTGGGCACTTGTGGGTGGAACTGGTGGGTGGCACTGCTGGGTGGCACTGGTGGGCACAGGTGGGTGGCACTGCTGGGCACTTGTGGGCAGAACTGGTGAGTGGCACTGCTGGGCACCGATCATCAGGGCACTGATCATCAATGTCCTGATCAGGGGCGGACTGACAACTCATGGGGCCCCTGGGCAATAGGGATAATGGGGCCCCTGTGTCCTTGCCCAAACTCAAAAAAGCCTATGAAAAAGGTACCAGGGGCATCTCATGGGGCTACCTACTGACCCCGGGCCCTCGGGCAGTGCCTGAGTTTCCAAATGGTCAGTCCGCCCCTGGTCCTGATGATCGGTGCCAATCCCTGCTCTGACAACTGCCGGTTCTCGGCAGTACACATTCCTTGCGCGCTGACAGTGTGAGGAAAGTGCAGCTGAGAACCGGCAATTGCATTTCCCGGTGATCAGAGTGTCTTTGGACACAGCTGATCACATGGTAAAAGGCCGCTGTGATTGGCCTTTTACCACATCACGTGATCAGCTGTGCCCGTAGGACACAGCGATCACGGAGATCGCCGGGTGCGCGCCCCTGGGGGCACGCAGAAGAGCGCATTCTGGGAGGACGTAATATGACGGCAAATTTCATGTGAATTTACCATTAACCCTCACTGTAACCCTCCTAATAACATTCACCTGATTAAACTTGTACACTTACCCAGGGGCGGACTGACCATTTGGAAACTCGGGCACTGCCCGAGCGCCCGGGATCAGTAGGGGGCCCATGAGATGCCCCTGGTACATTTTTTCATAGGCTTTTTTGAGTTTGGACAAGGACACGGGCCCCATGATCCCCTATTGCCCTGGGGCCCCATGAATTGTCAATCCGTCCCTGCACTTACCGTTCCTGAACTATAGAATACTTCCTGTGCTAAAAGATCCTCGTGGTAGTCAGAAGCCAAAAGCTCCTTCTTCATTGTTCAATAATCAAGACATAAAACAACCAAATGCTATACAATTCTGGATATTAGACCAAAAAGTTGTTAAGACAGGACTGGACCTAAAAGTGCGGAATAGTTTAAATTTTCTGCTCTGTAAGCCTACTCTGGTCCTTATCCAAACCAGCAAATATGTATCGTGTTAAAAGTAAAGAAGTCGATAATCCGAAGAAGGTGCCACCTCATAAAACCTATAGAGGGATCTCCAAGGTCTTTGTAGTATTTGAGGTCGTTGATCAACTTTCAGCTGCATCCAGGAAAGATGATCTATCAAATTGTTCAAAAAGACATGTAAAGGTCACAGCAGCAGCAAGATTTCTTTTTTATCCAGGAAAAGCGTATCTAAGACAGTGTTTCTCATCCTTTTTTCAGTCAAAGCGCCCTGTAAAATTATGAACAATCTCAAGGCAATTATGGACAGTCTTGAGGAACCCCCATTCTAAAATGTAAACAATTGTTCTAATAGTTGCATGATTCGTCAACATCCACACATGTAGGACACCCAACGTTAGAGGTGATTTATTCTTCCAAATCAAATTGCACATTGGTACTAATTAGTATTCCAATGTTTTTCTTCTCCGTCAGTTTCTCTCCCTTGCTCAGCTAATGTGACCCCAGCACTGATGGAGAGGGGAGGTGGAGGGTCAAACAAGGATGCTGTGCAGACAACCAGGGGCGGACTGACCATTTGGAAACTCGGGCACTGCCCGAGGGCCTAGGGTCAGTAGGGGGCCCCATGAGATGCCCCTGGTACCTTTTTCATAGGATTTTTTGAGTTTGGGCACGGACACAGGGGCCCCATGATCCCTTATTGCCCGGGGGCCTCATGAGTTGTCAGTCCGCCCTTGCAGACAACCAACATCCTTCTTATCAACTGATGATGTCTTTGGTTGTTTGGATGACGGTGGCTAGAAGGTCGTAATGGTGCACAATGAAAACCCATGGCTTTGTATAACAAAAAAGGCAGACTTTGATCCACCTCTGGCTTGTACACAATGTTTGGGCACTTTTTAGGCGTTTTGCCAAGACACCCCTAAAGAGACCTCAAGGCACCCCAGGATGCCTGGGCACCCTGGTTGAAAAAGGCTGATCTAAGATGCACTATGTTGCCAAAAGTATTGCTCCGCCTGCCTTTACATGCACATGGACTTTAATGGCCTCCCAGTCTTAGTCCGTAGGGTTCAGTGTTAAGTTGGCCCCGCCCTTTGCAGCTATAACAGCTTCAACTCTTCTGGGAAGGCCGTCCACAAGGTTTAGGAGGGTGTACTAAACAATATGATAGTGTGACAAGAACACACCTATCTGAAAAAGAAGGTTTCTAAAAGATCCACGCGGAGTAATATGAATTCAAATGAATTTAACAATACTTTATTTGATCACATAGATCATGGGGAGGTTAAACATGAGCACGGTGTACATATGAAAAAAATAAAATCATGTTTAAAAACACTTAGCGTCTCCAATTTAGGGTCATCTTAGCCAACAGAGCACCATATAAGGCAGAGTAGTGTGCTGAACAAGGTTTAGGAGGGTGTCTATGGGAAGGTTGGACCATTCTTCCAGAAACATATTTGCCAGGTCAGGCACTGATGTCGAACGAGAAGGTCTGACTCCCAGTCTCCACTCTAAATCATCCCAAAGGTGTTTTATGGGATTGAGGTCAGGAATCTGCACAGGCTTGTCAAGTTCCTCCACCCCAAACTGGCTCCTCCATGTCTTTATGGACCTTGCTTTGTGCACTGGTGTGCAATCATGTTGGAACAGGAAGGGACCATCCCAAACTCTTCCCACAAAGCTGGGAGCATGAAACTGTCCAAAATGTTTTTGGTATGCTGACGCCTTAAGAGTTCCCTTCAATGGAACTAGGGGGCCAAGCCCAATCCCTGGGAAACAACCCCACTTCATAATCCCCCCTCCACCAAACTTTACACTTGGCACAATGCAGTCAGGCAAGTACTATTCTTCTGGCAACTGCCAAACCCAGACACGTCCATCGGATTGCCAGACAGAGAAGCATGATTGGTCACTTGAGAGAACAGTGCTGTAGACTCAATGGTGGCACACTTTACACCACTGCATCCAACACTATGCATTGCACTTGGTGATGGAAGGCTTGGATGCAGCTGCTCAGCCATGGAAACCCATTCCATGAAGCTCTCTACACACTGTTGTTGGGCTCATCTGAAGGCCACACCAAGTTTGGAGGTCTTTAGCTATGGACTCTGCAGACAGTTGGTGACTTCTGCGCACTGTGCGCTTCAGCATGCACTGACCCCGCCCTGTCATGTGACGTGGCCTACCACTTGGTGGCTGAGTGGCTGTTGTTCCCAGTTGCTTCCACTTTGTTATAAAATCCCACTAACAGTTGAGCGTGGAATATTTAGTAGCCAGGAAATGTCACGGATGGACTTATTGCCCAGGTGGCCACCTATCACGGGACCACGCTTGGAGTCACTGAGCTCCTAAAAGGATGAATATACTCTATATTGCCAAAAGTATTGGACCAGCGCTCCAAATCATGTGATTCAGGTGTTCCAATCACCTCCATGGACACAGGTGTATACAATCAAGCCCCTAGGCATGCAGACTGCTTCTACAAACATTGGTGAAAGAATGGGTCGTGAAAGGAAGGGGCTGGTAAATTTGACTTATTCACTCTCCATCCTGAAGAATCCTATTATGTGCTTGCTGGTGGGAAGGAGAGGAGGGAAGTCGGCAGCACTGCGGGGGTTGGGGGCACACAGGGGAAATTGGCATGGCGAAACGTATGGTGCACAGGGAGGGTGATGGGTGTAGCGAGGAGGCAATTACTGGAACCGATCCCCTGTATGCCTTTCTCTGCAGCAGCTGAAAGCTAGTGGGAGGGAGAGGAGAAGAAGCCAGAGAAATGTATGGTGCACAGAGAGATTGATGGGTGTGGCTGGGAACAATTACTGGAACCGATCCCCTGTATGGCTGTCTCTGCAGCAGCTGAAAGCTAGTGGGAGGGAGAGGAGAAGAAGCCAGCTTTCAGCCTCTGCAGAGAGAGCCATACAGGGGATCAGTTCCAGTAATTGCCCCTCCCGTCATACCGATCACCCTCCCTGCCCACATACGATTCCCCCAACTGCCTAGGCCCCACTACTGGCCTGGGCCCCGTACAGGAGGACTGGTGGCACCCCCTTATCCATGGCCCTGGTGACATCTCCGTAACAGATTCCTTGACAATGTGGATATGCTGGAAAAAAACCCAAGAGTTCGCCCTATTCGTGGTGGAGTGCAGTTTTTAGCACACATGGACCTACAGGACTGATATAGATGGGAAGACTAGACACAGCTGGATCCGGTAAAAACAGATGAAATGGATCAAGGGCTCATGTGAACTCGTTGGATCCAATGCTTTGTGTAATTCTGTCCAGAGGAAGACAAGTCTGGAGGTGTCGTGTCTTCACTGTTCTTCCCATGAGCACTCCTGGCACACAGTGGAGGAACGGGGGGGGAGGCCTGGCTGTGTCACCATGGCCAGAAGCCTCTCCTAATCTGCTCCATCCTTCTACAATCGGGTGAGGATTCCCAGGCTTTATAACTGTGTATGAGAAATAAATGAGAATCAGTCTCTACGAGATGAGAGCGCCTGAGGACAGAGAAAGGTTCTGGATGGAGAAACGCAGTGCAGGAACCATGCCTACCTTTTCGTGAAAGGCCAGATGCACCCACCCAAATCCTGGTCTGCAGTTTAAGGTGGCCACTGGAAGGATGAACATGGAAAGCGGTTCAGGTTGATGAGGAAACATCAGACAAGGACATCGGTGTTGTGTACAATGTTGCATAGTTACATTTCTATTCTATTTTATTATATTCTTTTATTTTTTTATTCACTTCTATTCTGTTCGGTTTTACTCTATTCTTTTGTGAAGAATACCTGGTTCCATTCTATTTGAAATTCGAATTTCGGAAGACGGTTATATATTCTTTCTATACTATTTTTTTCTATTCTATTCTTTTATTTTCTATTTTATTCTTTACTATTCTATTCTATTCCATTCCTCTATTCTATTTTATTCTATTCTTTTATTGTCTATTAAATTCTATTTTGTTCTGTTTTCCCTCTATTCTTTTCTATTCTGCACTGTGATTTTCTATTCTCTTCTTTTCTATTCTAATTTTTTTTATTCTATTCCTTTATTTTCTATTCTATTTTATTTTTAAGTTACCTAAGTAACTATATATATAAAGAAAAAAGAAAAATACAAAAGAGTCCATTTTTCATCACTCTTTTTGTATGGTGATTTTCTATATTAAAAGTATTTTTGTGTGCAGCAATCCAATTTTTTGTTTCTCTCTCTCTCTCTCTCTCTCTCTCTCTCTCTCTC